GCAGGCGTGTATGTATGTATGCATGCATGCATGAATGCATTCATGCATGTATGTATGTATGTATGTATGTGTGTATGTATGTGTATGTGTGTATGTGTATGTGTACGTGAATGTATGTATACATACATGTATGTATGTATGCATGGATGTCCGGCTGCATGTGTGTATGCATGTATGTATGTGTGTATTGATGCATGCATGCATGTATGTAGGTATTAGAAGTGTATGTGTGAATGCATATGTTCATGCAGGTGCGCGTATGTATGTATGTATGTATGTATGTATGTATGTATGTATGTATGTATGTATGTGTGTAGGCAGGTAGGTAGGTAGGTAGGTAGGTAGGTAGGTATGCACGTATGCATGCATGCATGCATGCATGTGTGTATGCATACTGGTATGCACATACATAGTGCCTGCACATGTATATATATACACATATATGTATGTGCATGTATGCATGCATGACTGTGTGTATGTATGTATGTGTGTATGTATGTACGTATGTATGCATGTATGTATGTATGTATGTATGTATGCTTGTGTGCGTGTTTATGTGTATGTGCATGTGCGGATGCATGTGTACATATGTGTGTATACACATATATATATATATATATCGGAGGTTGAGGGGTGAGTCCGACGTAAAACGGAGACCCCCCTACCGGGAAATCGATTTCGGTTTCGGGTTCGTGTCGTGCGTGCCGTGTGTGCATGCGGGCGAGAGGAAATCCTCCTGTGGCTGGGCCGCGGCCGGACCAAATGTTTCTCCTCCGGGGGCTGGTGGCCCGCGGTGTCCCTCCAGTGTCCCGCTGGTGTTCCGAAATCCTCCTGTGGCTGGGCCGCGGCCGGACCAACTGTTTCTCGTCAGGGGGCCGGTGGCCCGCGGTTTCTCGCCGGTGTCCCGCTGGTGCATGTCCCGAAATCCTCCTGTGGCTGGGCCGCGGCCGGACCAATTGATTCTCCTCCGGCGGCCGGTGTCCCGCCGGTGTCCCGCTGGTGTCCCGAAATTCTTCGGTGGCTAGGCCGCGGGGACAGCGCTTCACGACAATGTCGAGTGCGCTGCGCCAACATCGCCACATCACATCACGCCCACGTGCACAATCACACTACTCACTAGACTCCGCCCCACAGGCATCCTCAGAACAACAATCATCTCTTTGGCCCACTGCTGCCCCCCCAAACCTCCTTATCACCCGCAGGGTGGTCGTATAGGTATATCGTATGTATAGATTTGTGTATGCATGCATGCATGCATGCATGCATGCATGCATGCATGTATGTCGGCATGCATGCACGTATGTTTGATACATGCCTGGATGTATGAATGCATGTATGTATGCATGCATGCATGTACGCATGCATGTGTCGGAGGTTGGGGGGTGAGTCCGACGTGAAATGGAGACCCCCACTACCGGGACATCGATTTCGGTTTTGGGCTCGCGTCGTGCCGTGCGCGCGTGCGGGCGAGGCGAAGCTGCTTAGGCGGGCGAGAGGGAATCCTCCTGTGGCTGGGCCGCGGCCAGACCAAACGTTTCTCCTCCGGCGACCGGTGGCCCGCGGTGTCCTGCCGGTGTCCCGTTGTGCCCCGTGGTGTCCCGTGGTGTCCGTCGTTGCTAGGGCGAAGTCAAGACAAGTGAATCTCCTCCGTCCTAGACGGAGTCGGCTTGCAGGGGGGGCCGGGCGCGGGGGGGGCGCCAACGACCGCGCCGATTCCATCGCGGCCCGCTGCCTTTTCCCGGGACTCTCAGGAATCCTCCGGGCCCAGTCGGCCTCGCAGTCGGCGCCGGCGTCGCGTCGCCCGCGAGCGCCAGCCGGCGGGCGGCCCGACCTTGTTGCGCATGTTTGGCGCGAGAGACCCGCGCGGGCCTCGCGCTGTGCCCGCGCCCCAGGGCGACGGCCCAGGCCCTTGAAGCTTCCCGCGCTGACGCGATGGCCTCGCGCTCGGCGCAGGAGCGGGCGCCGCCGACCGTTCGGTTCGGTTCCGCGCACTTCTCATGCGAGAACGCAAAGCCCCCCATGCTGCTCGCGCGTTTTGCGCGCTGAACAATGCGATGCAGTTGCGACGGCCGCGCGTTCAATTGGAAACCGCAACGCAAGTTTCCATTCCCGCGCGCGGGGCGGGGTATGAAATTACAGATGCGCCGACGGTCGAGAACTCGCGCGCGCCCGCGCCTGCCATGCTGGGCGTGCGCACTGGGCCCGGAAATCTGTGGCTCGGCCGCCCGATGCGCCCCAAAAATCGCTCCGCCTCCCCCTCCCCCCCCCCCCCCTCAAAACTCTTCCGCGCTCCTGGAAAAACCATGCCGCCGAGGCGGGAGCTCGGGCCGCGGCCTGATGGCCCCCGGGGCACAGGGGAATCAAAGGAATCAGTACGGAATCAGTACAAAATCAAAACAGATTCGGCACAACTGCGACCCCTGATTCTAGCGGAATCAAAAGAATCAGTACGGAATCAATACGGAATCAAAGGAGGAATCAGCGATGGAACCAGAATCGGCCAGAACGGGGAAGTAGGCCACAATCGGTGCCAGAACCCATGGAGAGAGGCCTTTTTCCCGCGAGTTCATCGCGGCGGGCCCGCGGCGCGGGCGCGCCGCGCGACTTCGCTGGTTCAGAGAGGCGCGCAGTCGGCGTTCAGAGTGAACAGGTTGTTTTCAGGGCGATATCCTGGCGGCGCGCTGGCGCATTGCGCATTTGCGTATTCCTGGCGGGCTGTTTGAGGGCGACCCGGCAGCGTCGGCCGAATGGCCCACAAATACCGCGCGGCCGATCGCGCGCCCCATGCGGTCACGTCGACCGCCGTGTGCCGCGACGGCCGCGCGCCCCGGACCGCGCCATTGCCGCGTTGGATTGGACGGCGCAGCGCCCGTCCTCCAAAAGTCGTCACATGCATATCGCGCGTGTCGAGCCAGCAGCAATCGCTCCGAGAAGCAGCCTTGACAGGCGCCCCATGCCCGTTGTCGCCCGGATCCGATCCAAATCATAGTTTCTTAGGATGCGCTTGCGCGAATGTGAGCGCGCGGGCAAGTAACGCGCGCGCGCTTGGCGCAGCCTGGGAAATCCAACATGGGCCCCCCCGGGGGCGCGGGGCGCCGGCGACGCCTCCGCCCGCCTCCCGCGCGCCCGACCCCCCCCGCAAGCCGACTCCTCCTCCTCCGTCCAGCGGTGGCTCGCGGTGTCCCGTTGTGTCCCGCGGTTTCCTGTGGTGCCCGCCGTTGCGATGGCGAAGGCAAGACAAATGATTATCCTCCTTCTGCCCGTCCGGCGGTGGCTCGCGGTGTCCCGCGGTGGCCCGTCGTGGCCCGTGGTGTCCCGTGGTGTCCCGTGGTGTCCCGTTGACTGAGATCGATCGTAAAATCAATAGTGAAATTGATAGCGATATCGATACTGAGATCGATGTGGTGCCCCGTGGAGTCCTATGGTGTCCCGTTGAGTGAAATCGATGGTGAGATCGACAGGTGTCCGTGGTGTCCCGTGGTGTCCCTTTGAGTGAGATCGATACTGAGATCGATGTGGTGCCCCGTGGTGTCTTATGGTGTCCCGTTGAGTGAGATCGATAGTGAGATCGATAGTGAGACCGATACTGACATCGACAGGTGTCCCGCGGTGTCCCGTGGTGGACCGTGGTGTCCCCTGGTGTCCCGTTGAGTGAGATCGATCGTGAGATCGACAAGTGTCCCGTGGTGTCCCGTGATGTTTCGTTGAGTGAGATCGATCGTGAGATTGACAAGTGTCCCGTGGTGTCCCCCCACACAACTTTTTATCACCCGAAGGGTTGTCGTATAGGTACATATTTTTATATATATATATATATATATATATATATCCGACGTGACATGGCGACCCCCCTTACCGGGAAATCGATTTCTGTTTCGGGTTCGTGTCGTGCGTGCCGTGCGCGCGCGGGCGAGGCGAAACTGCGTGGACGGGCGAGGGGGAATCCTCCTGTGGCTGGGCCGCAGCCGGACCAAATGTTTCTCTTCCAGGGGCCGGTGGCCCACGGTGTCCCGCCGGTGTCCCGCTGGTGTCCCGAAATCCTCTTGTGGGTGGGCCGCGGCCGGACCAAATGTTTCTCCTCCGGCGGCCGGTGGCCCGCGGTGTCCCGCCGGTGTCTTGCTGGTGTCCCGAAATCCTCCTGTGGCTGGGCCGCGGCCGGACCAAATGATTCTCCTCCGGCGGCCGGTGTCGCGCGGTGTCCCGCCCGTGTCCTGCTGGTGTCCCGATATTATCCTGCGGCTGGGCCGCGGCTGGACCAAATGATGCTCTTCCCGTCAAACGGTGGCGCGCGGTGTCCCGCCGGTGTCCCGCCGTGGGTTGCGCATTCCAAAACATCGCCGCTTGCGGCGAGCTATCCAGCACAAGTCTGCATGCAAACCGACACGCAGACCGAAAAGCACATCGAAATGCAAATTGATTTGCACATCCAAATGCAAATCGATTTGCGCATCCAGTGCGCCAGACCTGCTACCAAGGCAGCATCGGGTGGCGCCGCGAGGAGTCACTGTGGCACCGCAGCGCGCACGTTCGACCACGTCGACTAGCGCAGAGGTGAGGTTCGCGCGATTGATAAGCGCACGCGCGGACAGCGTTTCACGACAATGTCGAGCGCACTTCGCCAACATCGCCACATCACATCACGCTCACGTGCACAATCACAGTACTCACTAGACTTCGCCCCGCAGGCGTCGTCAGAACAACAATCACCACGTTTGCCCACTGCTGCCCCCCCAACTTCCTTATCACCCGCAGGGTGGTCGTATAGGCGTGTGTGTACATATACACACACTGATGTATCTATTCGTGTGTATAACTAGACTTGTGTACGTCTCGCCCGGCACCTCGCCCTCGCCCTCGCCACGTTCGTTTCTCCCCTCCCCACCTCCTTCTCCCGCTCCCTACTTCCTCCTCCACGTCGGGAGGGCTCTCGACCTCTCCCCCCCGTTCTCTTCTGTTGCCGTCAGCCGCGCGAGAGCGACCTGGCCGCGCTCTGCGCCCAGGCTTCCGCCAGCGACGCGGAGATGGTCGTCCCGACCCCGGGGAGGGCGCGGAGGCCCCCCCCGCCTCCGCTTTCGGGGGCGGCAAAGAGGGGGGTGATGACTAGGGGTGCGTGGACATCATGGCGCGGGCCATGGTATCCCCCAGATCTATTGGCGCCCCTTCCTATCTCAATGCGTCCCAGACCCAACCCTTGGCCGCGCGCGTGCCGCTGGCCATGTTTTGCGCCCCGCCCTTTTTGACGCCCCCCTCTTGGACGCACCCGACCCTCGTCCATGGGGCCACCAGGCGCGAAGCCTCGCAGATGGGGTCCGAACCAGTGGGGTCGGAGGATAGCGCCCCATCGCTGATGCATCGGCGATGTGGCTCGATGTAGATCCCGACGTTTTCCACTTCGACGGCGCCGATGCATCGTCGATGTCGCTGGTGCATCGCCGTGGTGCATACTTGCAGCCCCTGCCAGCGTGCCCCGGAACTCTTTCGATTAGATGTTCGAGTGGGGAATTTACGGCAGAATTGATTTACCACCAAAATTGATTCTTGCGTCGAATCTATAACACTGCACGTACAACTTGCGTAGATTCGCGAACGTTCTACACAATGTCCATGGACTCGACGAGACAGAGCCACGTTGGGATACACCAGCTGTGTCGTCGATGCCCTACTCGAGATCTGGACGTCTCCACCGCCCCTGGCCGGGTCCATCCTGGACACAGGCGGTGCGCCCCACCCTGGCCTGGCCAGGGATCAAACACGCCGTTCCTCGGCCCAGGACAGGCTCTGGCCAGGGGCGGCGGATGTGTGCAGACCTCGGCGCCCTGCGCGTCCGCTGGGCGGGCTGGCGCACGTCGCATTGGCAGCGGTCGCTGCCAGGCTGGCCCTCGGCAGCGGGGTGCTCGTCGGCAGCGTGGGCGAGGGAGCGGCAGGGAAGCGCCCTTGCAGCGGGGGCGTCGGTTGAGGAATGCGCGCAGGATGGTTCGGACCATGGGGGGCTCCTCATCTGAATAGCGCGGCGGTAATGTCCATGGCCAGTCCAAGATCAGAGTGCCACCGTGCTTCCAGATATTGTGTTCAAAGAATAGAGACCACCGTTCATCAGTAGTTGCATAGAGGAGCAACAAGGGCATAAACATACGCTGTGGCAGGTCTGCGCGGATTCCTCGGATCGGCGCTGGAGGCACCGCCAAGGGGCTCCAGCGCCGATCCGAGACATCCGCGCGGACCTGCAAGCGTTTAGATGTTTATGCTGTTTGTTGTGACCCGAATCCACCTGGCGGCGCGCACAGGTGGGCAAGGCTTCTCAGCAGGAGGCTGCTTCTCAGAAGGCGCCGGCCCTGCATCTGCAGACGAGGCCCGCGCCTCCTGAGAAGCAGGGGTGCTCCCGAGAAGCCTTCCCCCCTCCCCCCGCCCCCCTTTGTGCGCGCCGCCAATCCCAGGGCTCCTTGCCCAATGCCCTCACCGCGTATCGCGCGGGGGAGCGGCGCGGGGGGAGTGGCAGGAGAGGACGCCCCCTCCCTGCCTCGGCCAGCGTCCAGGTCCCGGGAGCAAACGGCAGGCTCGCGCCGCGTCGCGGCCAGCGACTCGTCCTGGCCGACAGCTGGGATAGAGCTTGGCCAAGCTATCGGGCCAGTTGTTCCCCGAGTCGGTTTGGAGAGCCTTCGGGGAACGCGTGGGGGAGCAAGAGGTTTAAAGCGCTCATGTGTCCGAGTATTGTTGCAAGAGCTTTGCCAAGATATTGGACCATGTGTTCCCCCAACCGTTATGGAAACCCTTCGGGGAACACTTGGGGGAGGATGGCGGGGAAGATCAGGAGGAAGAGGAGGAGAAGGAGGAGGAGGAGGAGGAGGAAGAGGAGGAGGAGCAGAAGGAGGAGGAGAGGAGGAGGAGGAGGAGGAGGAGGAGGAGTAGGAGGAGGAGGAGGGGGAGGAGGAGGAGAAGGAGGAGGAGGAGGAGAGGAGGAGGAGGAGGAGGAGGAGGAGGAGGAGGAGGAGGACGACGAGGATGACGAGGAGGACAGGGCAGCTTGGGAGCCTCTGGGGGCACTCTTGGGGCCTCCTGGGAGCTTCCTGGGAGCCTCTTGGAGGCATCTTGGGGGCCTCCTTGGGCCTCTTGGGGGCCTTTGGGGGCTTCTCGGGTGCCTGTTTGGCCGTCTCAGGGCATTCCTGGCCCGTCCGACGCCGTCGGAAGCCGTCTTGGGGGCTTCTATGGGCCGATTGGGAACCCTCTTGCGGTGCTCCAGGGCCGTCTTGCAGGCCATCTGAATCGTCTTGGAGGCCTCTTGGGCCGTCTGGGGGCCCTCCTGGGGCCTCTTGGGGGCATCTTGGGCCGTTCTGGGGCCGTCCTGAATGCCTTTTGGGCGATCTTTCTGGGCTCTTGGGCCGTCTCGGGCCGTCGGAAGGCCGAAAAGAAACACATGCCAAAATCCTTCAAACACCCACGGAGAATCAATGCTTTTCGCCTCTCCAGGTCTTCCTGGAGCCCCTCTTGGAGCCATCTTGGGCTGTCTTGGAGGCCTCTTGGGGGCCTCTTGGGCCAGGCCGTCTTGGGCCATCTTGGAGCCATCTTGATGGGCTCCTGGCCCGTCGGAGCCTGTCGGACGCTGCCTTGGGGGCCTCTCTGGGCCGACTGGGGGCCCTCGTGGGGTGCTCCAGGGCCGTCTTGGGGGCCATCTCGGGCGTCTTGGAGGCATCTCGGGCCGTCTTGCCGCCCTCCTGGGGCGGTCTTGGGGGCCTCTTGGGTCGTTCTGGGGCTATCTTGGAGGCCTCTTGGGCGATCTTGGGACGATCTTTGGAGGCTCTTGGGCCGTCTCGGGCCGTCGGAAGGCCGAAAAGAAACACATGTCAACATCCGTCAAAAACCTATGGAACATCAATGGTTTCGGCCTCTTGGGGCTCTCTTAGGGGTCCTCTTGGGGCTCTGTTGGGACGCTTTGGCGGCCGATTGGGCTATCTTGAGGCAATGTTGGGCCCTCTTGAGCCTTCTGGGAGGCCTCTTGGAAGAACTTGGAGGCATCTTGGACTCTCTTGAGTCGGCTTGGAGGCCATCTCGGCCGTCTTGGAGGCCATCGCGAGCCGTCTTGGAGAGTTTCTTGCGGACGTTGTGCTCGTTTGCGCTCGATTGTGCGCTCTTCCGCGTGGCCAGCGGGCACGGCCCGAGCCCCGGGGGGAAGTCCTTTTGGAAAAAGAACCAACACCAACACCGAAAGGATCCAGCACGCCGGGCACCCCTGTGATGAATCGACAGGGGGCGGCGGATCGAAGGCGCCTACGGCGAATCACCGCCGCCCCCTGCCCCTTTGGAAGCGCCTCTGTGGCCGACAGCTGGGCCAGAGCTCGGCCAAGCTATCGGGCCAGTTGCTCCCCGAGTCGGTTTGGAGAGCCTTCGGGGAACGCACGGGGGAGCAAGAAGAGGAGGAGGGGGAGGATGAGGAAAATAGAGGAGGAGGAGAAGGAGGAGGAGGAGGAAGAGGCCTCTTGGGCGCCTCTTGGGGCACTCTTGGGGCCTCCTGGGAGCTTTCTGGGGGCCTCTTGGAGGGTTTTGGGGGGCCTTTGGGGGCTTCGTGGGGGCCTCTTTGGCCGTCTCAGGGCGTTCTGGCTTGTCTGACGCCGTCGGGAGCCGTCTTGGGGGCCTGTCTGGGTCGTCTTGGGGCCCTCTTGGGGCATATCAGGGGTTGTTGTGGGGTCCTCTTGGGGCCGTCGGGGGGGCCTTTTGGGCCGTCATGGGGCCATCTTGGAGGCCTCTTGGGCGATCTTGGGGGCCCCTTGCGCCGTCTTGAGCCGTCGGAATGCTGAGAAGAAGCAAATGCCAAACTCTTCCATAAGCCTTAGGAACATCATCAGGAGTTCCTGGCATCCCTTCCGCTCTCGCCACGGCAGGCTCCCCCTATCCTGCCAAGTCGATCAGGGAATTGCCCGTCCTCGTTCCTCGAGGGGGTGCTGCGGTCGCAGCTTGTTCTGCGAGCGTGCGCACGCCTGGTTTGGCTCCAGGCGTCTGTTGCTGAAGAGTGGTTTGTCACAGGGTGTGTCTGTCCACCCTCGGTCCTCCCGTTGCTCTGCTCCCTCTTCTGCCTCGTGGCCCTCTGGTCTCTCTTTTCCTCTCCTCGCGCAGATCCTCATCCCCACGACCTCCTGCTGCCTTCCTCGTGCCCCCCCCGCTCGTAAGGGGTGCGACAAGTGCTCATCCTGGCAGGGGCGACCCCCGGCCCAGGATCGGTGCACTGTGCCCTCCTGGCCCAGCCAGGAGGACTTGAGCTTAAGTCGGGCCTGTCCCTCTACAGGAGGACTATCTTAAAATATTCGAAACCTAGTCCGGGGACCACTTCTTGACATTTTTTTTTGATTTTGAACATATTTTTGGATCCTGGGCCCAAGCTGTGCCCGGCCTGGACAGGTGTCTCGGGGGCGGCAAAGGGGGGGGTGATGACTAGGGGTGTGTGTGTGTGTGTGGATATCACGGCGGGGGGCATGGTATTCCCCCAGGTCTCACGGCGCCTCTTCTTATTTCAATGCCCCACATCCCATGTTAACCGTCCCCCCGGGTCCGGTTTTTGAAGGCGCAGTTTTTGTGTTTGGGGGGGTCCGAGTTCTTTGGGCGTGTTCTGTGGATTGGAGCTTAGGGGGTCGGGTTTATTAAGGCGCCCCGTCGAAGAGGGGGGTCTGGAGTATCAGGTCGCATTTGGAGGCGGGTCCGGTTTTTTAGGGGGGGTCGATTAATAAGAGATTTGGAGTACGTCCCTGCCCACCCCCTATGCCGCGCACATGCCGCCAGCCATGATTTGCGCCCCCCCCATCTTCGACGCCCCCCTCTTGGCCGCCTCCGAGCGTCGGCGCATCACTTCGCCGATCGACGCGCTGTCTGCTTCCCGCCTCCAGCTCTGGATGGTAGGAGGCAGGCCATCGCTGTGAGAAAACTCCCCGAGGCCTCGCGCCGTGCGCGATGATTGTATGATCTGTGGGGCTTGTCACGTGTGCGGAGCTACACTGTCACTGCCGCGCTTTCCTGTGGCTTTGCTGTGTTCTTGCTCGCAACGCACACCGCCAGAGGCGGCGGAGAGCTTGAGAGACCCACCTACCAAAGCCCACACGTCAGCCCCGTCAGGTCTGGGACGACGTTCGCGCGGCGATGCTCCGACGTACGTCCGGCGTGCGTCCGACGTGCGCCCGACATGGATCCGACGTGGAACCGGCGCAAGCTGGACGTCCGGTTGTAGGGCGAGGCGTCCAGAGTGTTGCCCTCATAGCTCGGGGGTGGACGGAGCCCCCACCCTGACACGTCGATTAGTGAATTGTCCGTTTTCGGTTCTCGAGAGGACGCCGCGGCCGTCATTGTCCAGGCTTGCTCCCGCCAGGTTTGGGCCCGAGGTCGTTTTCATTGAACCACGTTTTACTATAAAAGGGGTTCTGTGCATCCCCGCAAAGCCATGTACCAAACAAAAAAATCATGAGCCCCAGATTTCTGTCCATGCCCCCCCTCGCTCTTCTGGCCCCCTGGTGGGGCCGAGGCGCGAGCCCGCCCCATGGTTGGCCTCATCCTGCCCCGCGGACCCTCCTGAGGGTTAGGACGCAGCTCCTGGAGGGCAAAACCCAGCATCGGCGCTGGTAGCTCCGCGGTTCCAGACGGGCCAAAGCCTGATGCACCCCGCTGGGTCCCCCTTACTGCCTGCCTGCTCCACTCGGGCGGGGCTAGCATATGAATGTGTCGTTCCAGAGCGTTCCGGAACGCTCTCAGAGAGTTCCGGAACGCTTTTTAAGCAGGCCGCCGCGCCGGATACATCTTCCAGAAACGCTGGATCTCGGAGATCCCCGATTCAGAGCACATGTTTCAATCCCCTGGCGATAACGGGAGTGACTGGGGGGGCGCTGAAGTCACGATTCGCGCCGGTGCCGTCTGTCGGCGCCGAAATTCGAATTCAACCTTCGCCGATCAATGATTCAGGCAATTCGATGGGCGGTGGGGTAGGGTTCGGAGTTCGTCGAATACGTGGCGAAATCCGAAACTTTCCCCCGCCTCCCACCGATTCTGGAGAATCAATGATTGGTGGGGGTAACTTGGGCTCGGATGTCACCACTAAGTCTGGGAGTGCTGAGAAATGGCGAATTCCCAGACGGCGACGGCGCGAACTGTGACGAGACCAGGATGGGTGGGGCACGGGGCTTGGGGCGTGGCCGTTCACGGGTGTTGTTGCGAGTAAAACACGAAATTTGGTTTTGGCGTCCCCCTGCTCTACGCGCACACACACACACACCTCCGTTCGTTGCCTCTTCGGGGGACCTCGCCGTTTTTTGTTCCCGGCGTGGGCTCGATGCGGACTCGACGCTGATTTGGCGTGGACTCGACACGGACGCGACGAGTACGACATGGATTCGACACGGATTCGACGCGGATAGGGCCGCGACAAGACAGACAAGGACCCTTGAAGACGCAGCGTAACCCACACTCTTTATTCCTGGAGCTGAAGTTGTTTTACTCGAACACCTAACGCGCGTTATGTGGCTTTCACCCGCCCACCCAGTAGCTGACATAACGCCCTCCGCTTCACCCACCCCCGTTGCAGCATGGCCTGTTGTTTAGCGCACAGGTCTGCTGTTCGTAGTGCGCGCGCAACGTGCTATGTTGTGTGCCAGCGAACCCACACACCCACCCAGCCACAGGACGCGCATTATGCGGTTCCAAGAAAACTTGAGCTCCTGGCCCCGGCAGCCTCTCCCGCGCCCCTCGCCTCCGGCTGGTCGGTCATCCAGGGTCGCCTGCGTTGGGCGGGGCGCCGTTCATGCCTTCCAGGGCCAGCAGTCCTTCGTTTGTTAACATTTTCCAAGCAGTGGCGAAGCGTCCTGGCTCGCACATGGGCCCACGAAACAATGTTCTGAGAACCTTCTGTTGTCTGCACGAAATGCTCTTAGAACAGTTCTGGCTGATGCAGTCTTATTTTAACACATCGGGCTAACGTTCTGAAAGCATTGCCTTGGCTCTCAGAATATTTTGGGGTTCTAAGCAAATTTCGTGGTAGCCCTCCAGGAGTGCCAGGACGGTTGGACCCTGCTCAAATGCGATGTGGGAGGGCGGGTGGGAACGTCGAGGGCTGATTTATGGTCACTGCCCCTGCCCGCGTACCTTGTGCAGGATCAGCGTGCTTATCGGGTCCCCACGGGATGCAGACTTTGCATGCGACACCCTCTCCGCGGTCCTGTGCCGCGCCAGCTTGTCTGCGGGGGATGGTGTCCCAGAGCCGTGCGCCCAGGGTGGGCATGCCAGACTCGTGCCCTCGAGCTGGCTGGCTTGACGCGCACGCGCACGCACCCCCCCTCCTGGCCGCCACGCAGCCCCTCCCGCGCCCCTCCCCCCCCCCCGGCCAGTCAGCCGTCCGGGGGCACGGCCTCGCAGGGGCCGCTGCCCACCGGAGGCGCCCCGGGCGGCAGCGGGGGGCGGGTCGGGCGCTGAGGATCAGGCTGCGATCGGCGACCCTCAAGGGTGCGGATACGCTGGGGTGCGGTTTGCTAACGCTCGGCGTCCCTGGGACGTGTGCATTTTTTTTCTTCGGCGAGGACCATCGAGGAGCATCCTCGATCAATTGGCGAAACAAACCACGCACGAAACCGAAAAAAGCACAGGGAGTGGACGTCCGAGCGATGGCGAGATCGGCGCCGATGGGGCCCAGGGGGCACGACGTTGGCCTCGTGGGGCCTCCGCTGCGTGTCGTGGGGAGCTCGGTCGAGGGCTCGCCCCCCAGGGTGCCCCCCCCCTCTCAGGGTGCCGGTGGCAAGCCACGCTTTGCAAGCCACACCTTTCGGGGTCGCCGAGGGCGGAGGATCGAGCTCCGAGGATGGAGCTTCGACGTGCCAATAGAGGAGCGTTCGGTAGCAAGTCCTATGTGCCTTGTGTCCTCGCAATTTCGTCTGTGACGTGCATCAGGCGTGCGGAAGTGTCTGGCAATCGGTGAGAGAGCGCGCCGATGTAGCATCGATTAGCGTCGACTTAATGCGATGAGCGTCGATTAGCATCGATTGACCGAGCACCACGGGTGATAAAGCATACCCCCCGTTAACCTTTGAGAGTTGATTCTCCCAGGCCAAGACAGAGTTAGTCGTGGGAAAAGGGGCGGCGAGGCCGAGCATCATCGCCAGGGAAAGTACGAATCGAAGTTCGTATCCTTCCAATGTGAGTAGCAACACTATCACGAACGTTTGGCAGGGCTGTAGGACTCTCACCATGTCAGCTTTCCTAAGTCACGACAGGTGGCAGGGCCATGGGACTCTCATGATGTCAGCTTTCCCTAATCAAGAACGCGTGGCAGGCTCATGGGATTCTAGCCATTTTTGCTTTCCCAAGTCACGACCGTGTGGCAGGGCCAGTACATTCTTAGAATGGTATGTTTTCCCAGTCACGATCTCCATGATATACTAACATATCGTGCATACGAGTTGTCCGCATGAAACAATACAAGGACCCCCGAGCCCAGAGCTTCATTATCCCCACCCTGTGATTTTCAGGGACATAGGGTTAGAGCCGAGTGGCGTCGGTTGACGTCGACTAGCGTCGATTAGCGCCGATTCGCAAGAGCCAACAAGATTACATGGGAGGCGCCCATGTTGCCATCCTTGGGGCAAGTCGGAGGAGGAACAGGTACCGATACCGTTACTCATCCCTCGTCGCCACGGCTGAATTCGCTTTGAAATTCTGGTGAGGACGCACCCCGAGAGAGGTCCGAAGAGTGGCGGTATGGTTTTTTTTTGTTCGTTTCTCCCGCAAGAATGCATGATAATGCTACGTTCCCAGATTTCCAGGCGCTCCTGTTGTCGTGCGCGGCCAGGTACGACTGGTCGGGTACGGGAAGCGGAGGGCCGCTATAGAGACTCCGGAATTCCCAGAACGCATCCTGGGCCAACCGCATCATGATTTACGTTGCATCTTCGGGGGATTTCGCCTGTCCCCACCATGTGTCTTTTCTTGTGCCCGACGCGGGCAGGATGCGGACTCGACGCAGATCTGGCGTGGCTCCCACGCGGGTTCAACGTGGATTCGACCCGGATTTGACGAGTCCGACATGGATTCGACACAGATTCGACCCGGATAGGGGCGCGACGGGACAGACAAGGGTCCCCCGAAGCAACGCAACATGACATTGTTCTCGTCCTCCTTCAGTGTTTGGGGCGTCTCGGTTCCTTGCTGGGCCTCTGGCAGGCCTCTCGATGCCATAGTCGGGTCCGCCCCATGGAGGCCTGGTCGGAGCACAGTGCTGGACAGGGCCAGGTGGAGATAGCCTGATGGGGGAGGAGAGGAAGGTGAGGGAGGAGGATCTGGAGGAGTGGGGCAAAAGGCAAGGGTAGGAGGAGAGGGAGGAGGAGGAGGAGGAGGAGGAGGAGGTGAATCGAAGAAGAAGACGGGGTGAAGCATGAACATGGGGAGGCGGACGGCGACGACAAAGACGAGGACAAGGAGGAGCACGCACGAGAAGACGTAGCAGTAGGAACATGTGGGCACGGAAGGACAGGAACCTCGGAGGACGTGAAATTCGCAGGGTGAGGAGGAGGAGTAGGATGACAAGATCGTGCATGTTGCACGTGGTCGACGACGCGGTGGTGACGGCTGACACGGCGGTGGAGGTGACAACGGTGACGAGGACGAGGGGAATAATAAGAAAGAGAAAGGATGCGGTCGAGGAGAAAGAGGAGGGGTCGGTGGACAATGACACTGATGTGGACAAGAGCAGGAGGAGGGACTGGTATCGAAGGGTTCTTAGTGGCGATGGTCTCAGAGGAAAAGGGCATGACATAGAAGGGGATCGACGCACCCATGTGCCAATGTGCAGGGCCCAGAAAGGGTGATGGCGCATTGTGGTTGTACATGAACGCTCAGGACAGCGCACGAGGGATCGGTGGCACCAGGGGCGTGATCCCAGGGGGTATTCCGAGCAGCGTGCAGTTTAAGCTCTGTGAGTTACGATCCCGAGATTGGGCACCCTTGGGGTAAGAGATCGGCCAACTCGACCTCCTCACAGCGCCACTGTCTGTATCTGCAGCTTTTCAAGTGCCTTACCCATACAGATTTTGGCTACACTTCCACTGCTGTTTTGATGCGGTTCCCGCGCTGTGGAATGTTGTCACATTCGGCGGATAGACCTCAAACTTCACAGTGGACAGTTTGCATTGGATGGGTTGAACTTAGAAGATACCTCGCCCGCTCAGGCCCTCGCGTCCCCGGGCATCACCGAGTCTCTCTCTCTCTCTCTCTCTTTCCCCCCCTTTTGTTGATGTACATACCTGCCTATACGACCACCCTTCGAGAGAAAGAACCACGGGGCACCACGGGACACCGACGGGACCATCGGGCCCCATCGGAACACCAATCGATTTCTATTTCGACCTAACTATCGATCTCACTATTCGCCTCACTCTCGATCCCACTCGCTCGATCTCACTATCGATCTCACTATTAGCCTCACTATCGATCTCACGATCGGTCCCACCACGGGACACCGACGGGGCACCGACAGGACACCAACGGGACACCGACGGGACACCTACGGGACACCGGCGGGACACCAACGGGACACCGACGGGACATTGACGGGACAGCGACGGGACAGCGAGGGGACAGCAACGGGACACCAACGGGACACCGACGGGACACCAAGGCGGGACAATCTGGCCACCGCCCGCCCACCGTGTGGGAGAGGCGAACAGCGACGGGACACCATGGCAGGACAACCCGGCCAGGGCCCGCCCACCAGAGAGGGAGGAGGAGCGGACATCGGCTGTTGACAAGCCTTACGCCCGCCCACGCAGCTCCGCTTCTCCCGCACGCACGACACGAACCCGAAGCCGAAACCGATTTTCCAGTGGGGGGCTCTCCGTTCCACTTCGATCTCACCACTAACCTCCCATACATACAGGCAACTTGCTGCATTACGTATGTTCGTACGCACAAGTTTCGATGTGCGGGGTATCCCACCCTCTCAGTCTGCATGCAGACATAGGTGTATCTATATATATATATATATATATATATATATATATATTATATACACACACACACCTATACGACCACCCTGCGGGTGATAAGCAGGTTTGGGGGGGGCAGCGATGGGCAAAAGCGGTGATTGTTGTTCTGACGATGCCTGTGCCGCGGAGTCTAGTGAGTAGTGTGTTTTGAGTTGCACAACCCACGGCGGGACACCAGCGGGACACTGCGGTCCACCGTTTGACGGGAGGAACATCATTTGGTTGGGTCGCGGCCCAGCCACAGGAGGATTTCGGGACACCAGCGGGACACCGCGCGCCACCAGCCGCCGGAGGAGCTACATTCGGTCCGGCCGCGGCCCAGCCACAGGAGGAGTTCGGGACACCAGCGGGACACCGCGCGCCACCGGCCGCCGGAGGAGCTACATTTGGTCCCGCCGCGGCCCAGCCACAGGAGGATTTCGGGACACCCGCGGGACACCGTCGGGACACCGCGGGGTACTGGCCGCTGGAGGAGTTGCATTTGGTCCAGCCGCGGCCCAGCCACAGGAGGAATTCCTCTCGCCCGCCCACGCAGCTTCGCCTCGCCCGCACGCGCGCACGGCACGCACGACACGAACCCGAAACCGACATCGATTTCCCGGTAGAGGGGGTCTCCGTTTCACGTCGGATTCCCCCCCCCAGCTTCCGATATATATATATATATATATATATATATATAGATCCCCCTCCCAATCGTTATGTATCATGCGCCGCCTCCTTTCTCTCTCTCTCTGGCTCTCTCCCTTTATTTTTTTTTATGTTTTAATTTCTTTCTCCCGCTCTCTCTCTATCTCTCTCTCTCTCTCTCTCCCTCTCCCTATATAGTTTTATGTATATCGCTATTTCCCCCCCCTCTCTCTGCCTTTGTCTCTCTCTCTCTCTCTCTCTCTCTCTTTCTCTCTTTCTATATATATATATATATATATATTCCTCTTCCTGTATTTTTACACGCCCGGGGGGGGGCGGGACCCCCCCCCCCCAAACCTGGACCCCCGGGATCTGGGGTTCTCGGGCTCCCTTGGACGTCCTTGGAAAAGGTCACCCGGCTCTCCGGGTCTCCACAAACGCCTTGCCAGCAGACCCAGAGCGATCCGAGGGGTCATCAGAAAGGCTCAAGAGACGCCCCAGACAGCACAAGAGCGCTCCAAGAGGGACTCCAATTGCGTCAGGACGGCCCAAAAGACCTCCAAGGCACCCCAAAAAGCTTTCCAAGGGGCCTCTAAAGCACAAACATCGCCCCATTCCTTCCGTAAAACTTACAATTTTAGCATATTCGCCTTTCGGATTTCATCAGATTTCAAGAAGGTTTCAAAGCCCCCGAGATCGCCTCCAGACGCCCCAAAGGGCCCCCAAGAAAGCTTCAAGACGGCCGAGCCGGGCCCCACGATCGCCCACGAGAGCCCCAAGACAGCCCATAACGGAAACAAGAGGCCCCCCAAGGGCTCCCAGCACAGACCCAAAAGGGCTATGGGAGGTCCCCGGAAGTGTCCAAGATGGGTCCAAAGGGGGCTCCAGCGGGCCCAAATCCCCCAAGACGGCCCAAGAAGGCCCCAGGACGGCCCATGAAGGCGCCAAAACGGCCCACGAGGGCTCCGAAAACACCCCCACGATGTTTCCGAATGCCAACATAAAGACCCCCAAGGCACCCCAAAAAGCTTTCCAAGGGGCCTCCAAACCACAAAAATCGCCCCATTCCCTTCGTAAGACTTACAATTTTAGCATATTCGCCTTTCGAATCTCATCAGCTTTCAAGACGGTTTCAAAGCCCCCGAGATCGCCTCAAGACGCTCCAAAAGGCTCCCTAGAAAGCTTCAAGACGGCCGAGCCGGGCCCCACGATCGCCCACGAGAGCCCCAAGACAGCCCATGATGGAACCAAGATGCCCCCCAAGGGCTCCCAGCACAGACCCAAAAGGGCTATGGGAGGTCCCCGGAAGTGCCCAAGATGGGTCCAAAGGGGGCTCCAGCGGGCCCAAGCCCCCCAAGACGGCCCAAGAAGGCCCCAGGACGGCCCATGAAGGCGCCAAAACGGCCCACGAGGGCCCCGAAAACACCCCCACGATGTTTCCGAATGCCAACATAAAGACCCCCAAGGCACCCCAAAAAGCGTTCCAAGGGGCCTCCAAACCACAAAAATCGCCCCATTCCCTTCGTAAGACTTACAAGTTTAGCATATTCGCCTTTCGGATCTCATCAGCTTTCAAGACAGTTTCAAAGCCCCCGAGATCGCCTCAAGACGCTCCAAAAGGCCCCCTAGAAAGATGCAAGACGGCCGAGCCGGGCCCCACGATCGCCCACAAGAGCCAGAGCCCCAAGACAGCCCATGATGGAACCAAGAGGCCCCCCAAGGGCTCCCAGCACAGCAGACCCAAAAGGGCCATGGGAGGTCCCCGGAAGTGCCCAAGATGGGTCCAAAGGGGGCTCCAGCGGGCCCAAGCCCCCCAAGACGGCCCAAGAAGGCCCCAGGACGGCCCATGAAGGCGCCAAAACGGCCCACGAGGGCCCCGAAAACACCCCCACGATGTTTCGGAATGCCAGCATTCTTTGATTTTGCTCCCGTGACGCTTCACGTTGTGACCCAGTCGTTGAGGGTCTCGTGGCATGCAGCGAAGATGCTTGAGAAGCCCCGTATGAGTTGCATACGCATGTTCATACCCTCGTACACATACATTGGTATGTACATATGTACGCTGTATACCTAGACATGTATACGGAACGTGCATGCACGTGCGCGTGTATACATGCATCCGCGCATGTACTCACGCACGCATTCCGCTTCCGTGCAGAACTCAAAGGACCAAGGTGCATGGCGCGCAGCGCCAATGCAGTCTTGATATATATTTATATATATATATATATATATATACGGAGGGGGACGTGGCCGAGGGGGTCCCGCCCAGGACCTCGGCAGGGTATGGGGGGCCCGGGGCCTTACTCTTCTTTGCTTTTACACGGTTTCGGCCACTGCAGAGCCACCAGAGCCCCGGGGGACGTGGCCGGGGGGGGGCCGCCAAGGGACCTCGGCGGGGTATGCGGGGCCCTGCGTTTTTACATGGCTTCGGCCACCCGGAGCCACCAGAGCACGGGGGGACGTAGCGGGGCGGGTCCCGCCCAAGGGCCTTGGCAGCGCATCATGTGGGGCCAGGGGCCTTACTTTCCCTATGTTTTTACACGGTTTCGCCCACCAGAGCCACCAGACCCCCAGGACGTGGCCGGGGGGGTCCCGCACAGGGACCTCGGCGGGGCATGGGGGGCCCAGGGCCTTCCTTTCAATATGTTTTGACAGGGTTTCGGCCGCCCGGAGCCACCAGAGCCCCGAGGGACGTAGCCAGGCGGGTTTTCGCCCAGCGACCTCGGCGGTGCATTGGGGGCCGGGCTTTTCTTCCCCTGTGTTTTTACAAGGTTTCGGCGGCCCGGAGCCACCAGAGCCCCAAGAGGTTGCAGGGAGCTCCAGGGGCTGCTCCCGCCTGGCCTCCTAGAGGCCTCCAGGAGAGCTCCCCAAAGCTCACACACTTGGTTTCCCATCGTTTTTGTCACGATTCTCCCCATGCAGCCTGTTCTGCATCCCACCGCTGCGCGGCAGCCCCAGGCACTTTTCCGTAGAGGCCGCCAAGACGGCTTCTGGGAACCCCCACGACGGCCCAAGAGTCCCCGCAGAGGACTCCCGAGAGCACCTCCAGAAGCAAAAATTGCAAAATTTCCTTCGGAAAACGTATATATTTGCACGATGAGCCGACAAGAACGCCCCAAAACGGCCAAAGAGAGTTCCAAGAGGCCTCCAAGACAGCTTAAGAGGGGCCCTCGATTGTCCAGGAGGCACCCAAGACGGTCCCAAAAGGCCCCGGGGGGCCTCTGGGGCCCCCCCGAGACGACCCACACAGCCCCGAAACGCCACCCGAGAGCCCTAGGAGGTTTCCAAATGTCCACGAGGGCCCAGAATGCCCAACGCCGACGATGGCTCCAAGACGGCCTCTGGGAGCCCCCGCGACGGCCCAAGAGTGCCCCAAGAAGACTCCCAAGAGCGCCTCCAGAAACAAAAATGGCCCCATGCCCTCCAGCAATTGTTTAATTCTACGATATTCAAAGCTTCGTCGTCGAACGCGTCGAAGACGGCCCCAGGAGCCGACCAGATCGCCCCAAGACGGCCAAAGAGAGTTCCAAGAGGCCTCCAAGACGGCTCAAGAGGGGCCCTCGACTGTCCAGGGTGGCCCCAAGACGGTCCCAGAGGGCGCCGGGACAGCTTCCCCACACAGCCCCGAGGGGGTACCCCACCCGACATTTCGAGCCATCCTTCCCAAAAAGCACCCCAGAGACCCCAAGAAACCTTCAAGAGCCCCCGAAACAGAAACCCAAGCGGGCCCCACGGGGCCCCCCAAGAGGCTCCCAAGAGCCATCTCCCCAGACGCCCTGAGGTACTCTGGCCGATCCCGAAGCTTCCAGACAACCCTCGGCATCCTGACGCCCCCAACGGGCCTTGGGACAGTCAAACATTTAGGACGGAACTCCAGGCCCTTTCGAAATTCTCCGGACCTCGGGGCCACTCCAGGGGTCGTCGACGTCGTCGTCGTCGTGGTGGTGGCGGTCGTCGTCGTCGTGATCGTCGTCGTCGTCGTCGTCGTCATCGTCGTCGTCTTCGTCGTCACTCGTCGCCGCCCCTGTATTCGTCGTCGTCGATGTCGTCATCGTCGTCGTCGTCGTCGATGATCACACGAGCGAAAACGAGAGCAGCAAATCGTGGCGCAGCCGTGACTAGAACCTAAACGCGCGTGGTTCTAGTATGTATATATATATACACATACACCCCCCGTCGATGCCAATACAATCCCATCGTTTGCACCTTGTCATTCCATGCTGCCGACTTTCTCACTATTTTGGCGCGGTCGAGCTGGTGTCTGCGCTTCGGCTGCAGTGGATGGCCCTCCGCCGCGCTCGTGCTACAATCATCACTCAGCGCCGCTGTGGCTCACCCAACCACTGCAGTGCCGACATACCTGCGTACTGCGAACGCGCAGTTTGAATCAGAATGCCCACGTACGTAGGTTGAGGCATTTGCATGTGTACAGTGCACGAGATGGCGTGTCCACAACATTCCTCGATAAGCTCGCCTGTGAAGCTCCTTTGCGCCCCTTCTGAGCAGAACGTCGGGTCCCTCGCCGCATCTGGACTCGACGGGGCGGCGTGGCCTCCCGTGGCTTTTCGCACAGCCGCGTGGGCACGGGTAGCATCTGTCGCATCATCATCGGGTATGGCCAGGACCCCAGGTAAGGGGACCCGGTTAGTGGTAGGGCCCGGAGCCCTCGAATTGGCCAGAATCACTAAACCAGGTTTGCCATAGTTGGTGTTTTGTTCGGGTGACGGCAGTTCCGGTTCGTGGAAATGGGACGGGGGGGCGCCCCCGGTACAGATCACTAAACCAGGTTCCACTAATCCAGTTCTACCAACGCCCGACATTAGCAGTCGTTCTGTTGGTCATCGCAAACGGTGCAGCCATGGTTGCAGTGCTCGTGTGAGTGTGGTTGTTCAGTGACAGGCCTAGCCCCCGAATCAGTATCAGCTGCCCTCCCGTGGCTTTCCGCAGTAGCACGAGTAGTTGCATGGGCATTGTTGTCCGTATGGATACACGTTGTGCATCGGAGGGCGTCTGTTTTCGATCGCCTCGATTTGCACGTGGTCCGTCGCGCTATGAGCAGATTGGCCACGCAAGAACGAGGAGAGGCACTTGGGCCCCCCTCGGCACCCGAAGGCGCCAGCCCCAGAGACGCCCACTCATACGGGCGCTCGGCGGGGGAGGGGCGCGAGCGCAAGCAGACGATGTGCCACGCGAAGCGTGCGGTGTCCACACACGCTTCGGAAAGCACATCATCATGAACATCTCTGACAGCAACTGAAGATTCGCAAGGGTCAGCTGTGCTGTGACAGCGCCTGAGTACGTTGTTTTCGTGCATAAGAGAAGTGCAACAAAAACATGAACGGCAAATCAACAGGGCATTGCATTCAGAGCCCTATCCATTCACACTCGGGATCTTCCACTTCGGGCGGCCCAGCCTTTGGGATGTCCTCACTCCTCCGCTTGTCGGAGGGATGCTTAGCTTGAGTCGTACTACTAATATTAGTAGCTCTGGTCGCGGTAGTAGAAGTAGTCGGCAGTGTATGTAGCAGTCGTATCGGTATACGTTTCGTTGTAGCACATGTCGTAGTATCAGTAGTTCGTGATATTTGTTTTGCCGGTAGTCCGTAGTAGTAGTAGTCGTCGAGGCCGTAGTGCCAGTGATGGTGAGGCCCAGATTGTGGATTGGCATGTCCCTGTGTAAGAAAGCAGTTTCGGCGTCTTTGCTGCAAGGGTGGCATGCCTCTCTTCCCGAGTCGTTTTCATGTCGATCTCCTTCGCAATCATCCGAGCCAGCGCTGTCGGAGCCCAGCTTTTGCCAGCGGGGCAGCCCAGAGACGCGAGGTCCTCTCGCCTTGAATTATTCCGCACACTCGCCCCTGCCGCTGTTCACTCACCCTTGTCGCCGCCCTCTTCATCTCTCCCCCCGCATGGCTCCCCCCCTCTTGGCTTGCCCTATCTTCCTGGACGCGGAGGAGGAGGAACAGGGACGAGGGTGCAGGAAGAAGATAGGAGAGCGGAGGTCGGAGGAAGAAAGAGCAGGGAGGACGAGGATGAGAGCGGGGGAGGAAAAAAGGTTGGAGCATGGTGGGGGAGCTGAGACCGCCCCCCTAGGGAGTGCTGCCCCGAATGGCAGGGGGACGGAGAGGAGAAGGATGACGCCGATGACGACGACGACGACGACGACGACGACGACGACGACCACGACCACGACCACGACCACGACCACGACCACGACCACGACCACGACGACGACGACGACGACGAGAGAGGATATAGAGAGGATGGTGAGGGAGGAGGAGGAGGAGGAAGAGGAGGGTAAAGAGAGAGAGAGAGACACAACATCAGAAAGAGAGAGAGAGAGAGAGGTAGAGGGACAGAGAGGCAGAGACAAAGGCAGAGAGAGAGAGAGAGAGGGAGAGGTAGTGAGAGGTCCAGACCCATCCGCGGAGCCCCCGGGGCGGCGCCACGAGGCTCTCCGCTTCCGGGCGACAGACCTGCTGCGGGAGCAACCCAGGTGATGGGAATCACCTCTGCCTCGGCACCGTCTAACCGATCCCCATCCCCCACTGGGCCGCGGCATCTCAGACCCGCCAGCCCACCCACCCCAGTTGGGGGCTGAACCCCTCGAGATCCCAAGGACACAGCAGCATTCCTCCCCCACCCAGCGGGGCAGGTCGGAGAGCGAGGCCAGGGCGATGCCAGTGGGGATGGGGCCCGGTTAGACGATGCTCACTGCCCTCCTCCGCTCGGGAGGAGGACAACTCTGCAAATTCGCCTCCCACCTCCTCCCTCCGCCTCCCTCCTCGTTTCTCGCTTCCTCGTTACCCCTCCCTCTTTCCCACTCTGATTTCGTCCCTCCCTCTGCCTCCTCTTCCTGGTGCTCCTTCTCCGCCTCCTCGCGCTCACACCTCGCCACGCGAGGCGTATCTGCGAAGCTGTCCTTCTCCCAGGTAGGCAGGCGAAAAGATGAGCACCCTGACGCCAGTCGGCTGGGGTAGTGCCACCCACCTCCGATGCAGCCACCATGGAGCATTTGGGGGAACGCTCCCCTTCCGCGGGGCCCGTGGGGCTCCCTGGCATCGTTCGGACGTGCGCAGTTCTACTCTCGGCGAGGACCATCGAGGAGCATCTTGGATCATCTTGCGGGCAAGAAGCGCTCGAAACCGAGACTTGCACGTGATCGCTTGTTTATTTTGTGTTTTGCCAATCGGGGCGGGCCCTCGAACCCACCCTCCGCCCCCATGGAGTAGATCTTGGCTGTTTTGTGGCGCCTCTTTCAAGCTGCTGGAGTCTTTCCCGGGGGACGCACGGTTCCAACACAGCCGCACGAAGCAGAGGTCCGGAGCCAGATCCCTCCCCCCCTCCTCCCGCCCCCGTCCGCCCAACCTCGAAACGCCAGATAGGAAAACGCTCACCACGAGGGATGGACGCCCCAGCGATGGCGAGGCTCAGGTCACCACCCGGGGGCGCGACGGGCCGCAGCGCCCCTCGCGAGTCGCGGCCCGGGCCGGGCGAGCCGCCCCTCTCCAGGGGGGGGGGGGGGTGCAGGGCCTCGTCAAACGACGCGCAGATCGGGACAAAATCGGATCGGGATAACTCGAAATCTCTGAGAATCGGCGGGTTTGGAGGATGTATTGGGCGCCGCGGCCGCTCCAGAGCGCTCCGGAACGCTCTGAGAGCGCTCCGGAACGCTCTGGAGCGATTTATCCCGATCCTAGCCCCGTTTTACCTCGCGAGGGGCGCGAGAGGACGGCCGCACATCGCGGGGCGCGAGAGGGCGGCCGCGCATCGCTGGGGCGGGATCGGGGGCAACGACGGGCTCGGAGTGAGGAGAGGCGGCGCCAACACCGCCAAGGGGGCCCACCTCCGGCGAGGAGGTCCACGATGCCTCCCCGAGCTGGAGGCTGGGGACGTCTCGACCACACCACCGGGGAGGCCCCCCCTTGCCGTGCCTCCTCGCATCTCCTCGCCCTGGTGGTGCGGGTGTCGCCTTTCCTTGTTCCTACAGGGGGCGACGAAACCGGCTGCATGCGGCTGGTGTCGTCCCCACCGCTGGGGCGCTTTCCTCGATGCACGGTCGCGTCCCGCGCCCGGGCTCGCCATCGGAGGCCACGTTAGGGGTGGGCACTTTCAGGGGGGAAGCACATCGGTCCCCAAAGCGCCCATTGATCGCCGATAGGGGCCTGATAGCCCCACCCCGCCCAGGTACGTGCGGATTCACTATCCGGGGCCATTTCTTCGATCAATCAAAGATGTATTGCCAGTTCCATGTCGGTCTTCCCCCCTATGCCAGTCCCCTCTATCGTTGCCCCTTAGGGGAGGCCTTGGTTGCACTGGTGACGAGCGAACGACACTGGGTGTTCGATTATGGACCCCTTGTTGATCCCAACCATCCAGCTTTCGCGCCGAAGACCGCTAAAACCACCGAAGCCTGTCAGAAGGCCGCCGAAGGCCGCCGAAGACCACCGACGACCGTCCGAAGACTGCCGAAAACCGCCGAAGACGGCCGAAGTCGGCCCAGGAGCGGCGGCGTAACAAGGGGTCCGTGCCCGAGCACGTAAAAAACAGCAACACACACCCCTACCCGCAGGGGGGGACGAAGGGGGGGGGGCCATAGGTGCGTGCTGTCGGAGTGGAGCCCCCGCTCGAGAGCCGCTCGAGGGGGATCGCCCCCCGGGCTCCAACACCCCGCACCCGTGCCCGCGGCCAGTCCTCGCTCCCCCCGAGCCCCCCTGTGGGTGCGTGGGTGTGTGGGCGTGTGTGTGTGTGTGTGTGTGTGTGTGTGTGTGTGTGTGTCTGTGTGTGTCTGTGTGGATGTGTGTGTCTGTGTGTGTGTGGGTGTGTGGTTGTGTGGTGTGGTGTGGGTGTGTGTGTGTTGTTCGCTCGTCGGCGGGCGCGGCCGCCCTCCGCCGCCCCCCGCGGCGGAGCCCCCCGGGGAGACCACGGCGAGGGCCGTTCGCCGGCGCTTCTCTTCGCCTGGCGGCCTTGCGCTCGTCGCCCCGCGGTCCGCAATTGGGCGCCCAGCCCGCCCGCCCACGCAGGGCGGCTTCCGGCTCCTCCGACGCCGCGGTTCGAGATTCGATGTCGGCCGATTCCGAGCCGATGCGGGTGCCGATGCCGAGCGGGATGTCGGTTTCTCCACGGAGGTCTTACGAGCCTGCCGATTTCCGCCGGTCCGAGTCATGTCGATAGCCCACCCGATGCATCGATTCAATCATGTGGTCTCTTGCCCACGGGGAACGGTAGATCCGGGCGCGCACGCGTTGGGGAGAGGAGGAGGGAGCGGAGGGATGAGAAGGAGGAGGCTTCGAGGCGAGAATTTCTCGATCACCGGGGACCTCGACAGTCGGTGCAGGCGGTCCAAGTGTGTGCATATCCGATAGGGTCTCAGGACGTCGGTTCCACAGACGGTGGATATGAGTAAATCTCCGCCTCGCCGATGCGGGAGACGGAGCAGGAAAAGGCAGGAGGAGAAGGACGACGACGAAACAGGAGTCAGAGCACGCTTGCGCACAGCGGGCACGAGGCTGAAAACAGATCCTCGCATAGGAGAGGCACCCTGGAGTTATTCGTGATTGGGCCGCTCATCTTCAAACGGTTTTCGTTTGTGGTTTCTCAATGGGGCATTTGGCCTTTCGCGGAAGGGATTGTGCTCTTCACCCGCGTTCTTGTGGCCATGTTTCGATGTGAATAAGACGGTGTACGGCTGAACTGGAGGAGGGGCAGGAGGACATTGACGACGACGAGCACGAGGGCGAGAAGGACGAGAAGTGTACGGTAGGTTCACGTCGTGCCGACACGGTGGAGCGCCGCAATAATCGGACGATCGAAAACCCGCCCGCCGATCGTTCAAGGTTGAGCGATCCACACGGTGTCAGAAACCAACGCCAGGGTCGTCGCGGCACAAACTTGCCGCCGGCGATGGCGAGGAGCGTACCGAACCCGTCCCGTCCGTCCTTGGGCGGGCAGTCGGGCGGTCTATTGCCCGACCTTCCCTCGTCTCCCCCTCACGCCACCCGTCCCCCGCCTGGCTCCGCCGTTCGGCCCCCATCTCCGCCTCCTCCTCCCGCCTCCTCTTCTCGGAGCTGCCCGGGGGGCCTGCGGTGGCCCAGCCTTGGTTCCAGCGAGCAGGACCGGGGGGGGGGGGGGCAGAGATTCGGTCTCTTTACAACCAGAACAACCACTTTACAACCAGATGGGTTACTTTACAACCAACATAGGATTGGAAAGTATGGTTTTTCATCGAGAACGTCCACTTTGCAACCAGAACGGCCCACTTTACAACCAGAACGGACCACTTTACAACCAGAACGGGCCACTTTACAACCAGAACGGACCACTTTACAACCAGCTCAGAGTGGCCGCGCGTGTTTGGGCGTTCCGCAAAGTGCTCCAGAGCAAGTGGGCGCTCTGAAAAATGCCGAGCAAGTGGGCGCTCTGAAACATGCTCCAGAGCAAGTGGGCGCTCTCAAAAGTGCTCCAGGGCGCGCGGACGCTCTGAAAAGTGATCCAGAGCACGTGGGCGCTCTGGAGCCCGAGCGCCTGAACTCTTTGCGCAGGCCCCAGCGATGCCTCTGAGCCCGAGGACCTGGACGTTCTGCGCAGGCCCCAGCGATGCCTCTGAGCCCGAGGCCCTGGACGCTCCGCGCAGGCCCCAGCGATGCTTTTGAGCCCGAGCGCCTGGACGCTCTGAGCAGGCCCCAGCGATGCCTCTGAGCCCGAGCGCCTGGACGCTCTGGCGCTCTGAGCCCAGCAGACTAAGACAGGGCTTGCTAGCAGGGGCCAAGCGGCCTCAACAAGGGCCCCGTGCTTGCACGGGAATAAGGCGACAGCGTACGTAGGAAGGCTCAGGGCGACGCGCTGCCCATTTTAGGGGTCACTCACAGGAAGCGGGCCCAGTGGCCTCCACAAGGGCCCAGCGCTCCAGGGAACCAGGCCATTGACACCGCGGGTCTCTTGGGCCACGTTGGCCCCTGAAGCCCCACGGTGTTCTGCAAGGGGCTAAGTGCGCCAGCTCCAGTTGGCCCCCTGCTGCTCCTCGTCTTGGAAGATCGGATTCAACGTTCCGAATAAATGCAACTATTTCGAAGATCGTTTCTTCCAGCGTCAGCCACAGTGCCAGCGCAGCAAAGCAGGTATCCTGCTCGGGCAGCAGCCTCAGCCACCGTGCCAGCGCAGCAGCTTGAGCCACCGTGACAGCGCATCGCCGCCACCTTTGTGCCTGCTACCACCACGCTTACCGCTGCAGCCCCGCTACCTCCACAATTCCGACTGACCCCCCGCTACTACCGCAAATCCCATTGCAGCCCAGCTACCACCACAGTTCCCACCGTTGCTTGGCGACCGCCACAGCTGCCACCGCAGCTTCCCAACACCATGCAGTTCCCATTGTAGCCCCCGCTACCACCACATCTCCCACTGCAGCTTTCCACTGCCATGCAGCTCCAGTCTTGGACGGGATCATGGTTTATTCGTACACCGCACTCGCATCTATACCCCTGCGTGGGTGTATGTGCGGCCGTTTTTGCGCTGTCATGTGCGCGCATGTGCGCGGCATGTGCCAATCATGTGCCAGGCCTGTGCGGCCCTTCTTGGATGGACTTCTTACTGTGCACGTCGAGCCCGGGCATGTGCGGGGGCATGTGCGCTGTGTTTTGGTGTATCCATCATACGCACATGCACGCACAGTCCGACGCACATGCGCGCACATGCCTGCACATGCGGGAGGTATTCGAGAATCGCAGATCTGTCATCGGCACATGCACGCACATGCCTGCGCAACCTATCTTCGGGAGGCCGCGCGGGCCCGCACATGCACGCACATGCGGTGAGGCGCGCGGGCGCACATGCGTGCACATCCCAATGCACATGCACGCTCATGCCCTAGGAGCTGTCTGGGACCCCTGTGCCTCCAATGCCTCCTGGCCTTCGCAGAGCTAACCTGGGGCGTGCCAGGGCTTCCTGAAAGAGTTCGTTGTGCGTTTAGACTCGCCCGCTGCTGGCGGGGGTGGTTCTTCGCCCGGTTCGTGAGCTGGCGGTGGAGTGCCCTCCTAGTAAAATACTCTCCCGCGCGCCTTCTCAGCTCGGCCGGAGAAGCAGGGGTGGGGTGGGGGAGGTGGAGGGGGAGGGGGAAGGAGGGGGGGGCGGAGGAGGCGGGCGCCCCCGGCTCGGCCGGTCCGCCCGCCTGTTCGGTTCGGCCGAGGAGGAGGAGGAGGAGGAGGAGGAGGAGGAGGAGGAGGAGGAGGAGGAGGAGGAGGAGGAGGAGGAGGAGGAGGAGGAGGTGAGAGTTGTGAGGATGTCTCAGGCGAAAGTGGCTTGACGGCCCGAGCTCAGGGAATCTCGGAATCGCTGGCCTGGCTCGGCCACTGGCGAGCTCGGCCTGTGCGAATACTGTGCGTACCTGTGCGGGGCATGTGCGGGACGTGCAAGAATGCCGGGGCCGACGTTCGTCTCCGGGCGCCGGCGCATTCGCGTCCGCGCGCAAGCCGCGCGCGGACGCAGCGTTCGCTTCATTGCGCGGCCCCGACAGACGGGGCGCCCCGCTCACGCTCCGCACAGGCGCGGCTAGTGTCTCGGCCTTTTCCGCCTGAGACCCTCGGAACTCTGGTTTCCGAGATGCCCTGATCAGGTGGTCAGGCCACTCCTGCCTGAGACACCTCGCAACTCTGGGTTCCGAGACGCCCTGGGCTGAGGTGGTCAGACCACTCTCGCCAGAGACATCCTCGCAACTCTGACGTCAGAGATCTCTTGCCCCATGGTGGTCAGGCCACTTTCGCCTAAGACATCCTCGCAACTCAAGACCTCGGAGGTGTCCTGCCCCATGGCCCATGGTGGTCTGGTCACCTTGACCAGCGACATCCTCGCCATTCTGGTTTCCAAGATGCCCTGCCCCATGGTGGTCCTGCCACGCTTGCCTGAGACATCCTCACAACTCTGGGTTGCGAAATGCCCCGAGCTCAGGTGGTCAGGCCACTATCGCCTGCGACATCTCTGCGGCATGTGCGGGCATGTGCGTCTACATGTGCGTCTATGCTTTCAGAGGTTTGCTTGGCCGTGCATTCGACTGTGCGTCCGACGGTGTGGCATGTGCGCGCATGTGCGACAATGCTGTTGAGGTTTTTGTATATGTGCATGGGCATGTGTATGCGACTGTGCGGCATGTGCCTGCATGTGCGGCCCCTTTCGGACCGCAATTTCAAAGTGAGCACTATAGAAGTGAGCGCTATAGAAGTGAGTCCGGTGTATGTCCTGCGCGACTAGCCTTCGCCCGTCAGAAAAAAGGCAGAGCAAGCAATGGCAGAACTGACCGACAGAGCTTAGAGAGCAGGTCAAAACTCGAATCCGCCCACCAGCACGCAACATGCCATAGCGCACCAGGTCGCCGCATCGCCAACTCGCGCGCAGTGCTTCTTCGTGCGCGATGGGCAACTTTACAACCAACATGCCTCAAAGAGCCCAAAGCCACCCTTGCGCTTGCCCACGGAGATTTCAGGGAAAGGCACGCGTGCATTCAATATGTGTTTTTACTTGCCTGGTTGTAAAGTGCCCCTCCTGGTTGTAAAGTGCCCTTCTCGGATTATGTAAGCTGGTTGTAAAGTGACCCATCTGGTTGTAAAGTGCGCTTCTGGTTGTAAAGTGACCCACACGCGGGGGCGGCAGAGGCTTTAAGTCGGGCCTGTCCCCCTACAGGAGGAATATTCAAAAATAGTCGCAAAACAAATCCAGAGACGATTTTGGTTTGCCTATGTTTGACCAGCTGGGTGTATGCTTTGAGTACTTTTATTTTTGTCGCCCAACATCCCCCTGTAGGAGGACAGGCCCGACTTAAGCAGAGGCTCGAGTTGCTGGGTTCGACCAGGTTCTGTTGCCTTTTTCCGGCCTCCGGCGGCCGTTCACGGGCGCCACGACCTGCGTCTGTGGTGAAAGAGATTGCACCAGGTAGGCCTCTGGAGGGAGCCCAGTGATAGAGTTTGAACGGATTTGGCCTCATCCACCCATCTTGATTAATTCTCTACCCGTCCAGTGCAGACTCCCTGCCGCCTCCAAGCTCCACTGTTTCCTCACTCTTCTCACGAGCGATGCCTCCCCCCTTAGATGATGTGTCAAACGCTGGGGGCAGTTCTGTTATCGTTTTCAAGATGTATGTTTTTGTCCGTTTGGGAGTCATTTTTTATGTGTTCGGTTTGTCGTTTTGCCGCATGGTATGTGCGGGCTGTCATTTTTGGATTTTTTTGGGTTGTCGTTTTTTCACAGTTCTGGTTAGCCGAGCACCGAAAAGTTGAAAACAAGAGAGAGGCCCCCAGCGGAATGCTTGGGACCGGACGCGCCCGTGTCGATGATGGGCGCCCCATGAGTTGGGCGCCTCAGATATTGGTTGTTTAGTATGAACTCCCACAGGCCATCTCTGCGTCTCTCGCGTTTGCTTCCTCTCTCTCTCTCTCTCTCTCTCCCCCCCCTCTTTCGCTCTCTATCTCTCTCTCTTTTTCTCTCTCTCTCTCTCTCTCTCTCGTCCACAGGACAGGGGACGGAGAGAGTGGGAGAGAGCGTGCCAGCTCTCTCCCTCCCGTCCTGCCATCGACCCCGCTGCCCCGCCCCCAGCCTGAAGGCTGCGTCGTCATCGAGACGTTCCTCTGCAGCCCTCGTGGACGGCCTGCCATCGTGGACGCTCCTCCGCAGCCCTCCCCACCCCGCGCGGTGGGGGAGTGGGGGCCGGGGTCAGGAGAGCCGGGGGGTTGTTCAAGATGTGCGGGTCTTGGGTTCGTCCCTGGGAGGCCCCCCGAGATACCAAAAACGCCGGACAATCTTCAGGAAGGGAAAAAACACACAGACACAATGAATCGTCGATTCCTAAGAAAATATGGGAAAATATGGGCAGTGGGGGGGAAGACAGAAGCCCAGAAAATATAGGAAAACTATGGGAAATCCTTTTATTTGTGTGTATTTAGTTGTGTGTCCTGGGGCCCTTTCAGAGGCCCCCCGAGATACCAAAAATGCCGGACAACCTCGGGAGCCCTTCCTTCAGGACCCCCTTTGTTGGGAGGAGGTCGAGCTGAGGCCACGGCCTGGCCGGCCCAGATCCGCTCAAGATTAGGACCTGGAGGGGAAAAAACACACAGACACAATTAATCGTCGACTCCCCAGAAAATATGGGAAAATATGGGAATTGGGCGGGAAGATAAAAAATAACAGAAAATACATGAAAATATGGGCAATGCTTTTATTTGTGTGTATTTATTTGTGTGTCCCATGGCCCCTTCATAGGACCTGTGCCCCAACTATCCGCCTCGGCAGTCGAGCCCCCTAGGGCCCCGAAGGGGTACGAAGGGTGCGCGAAAGGCACACCAGTCTTACCCCCCATGCATCGCCCCCCCAATAGTGAACGCCCGACATCGGTCCGTCCTGACCGCTTTTCCAGGCGGAAAGCTTCCAGGATGTCCGAACAAGTGTGTGGAAAAAAAAACGTCGGGGAAGCCCGTCGTTGCTTCGGCTCGCCCTCCTTCGGCTTCTTATTTCATCCTGATCTTCTGGGTCTCCCAGATGAGGTCAGAGTGGATGGGGTCGGAGGATGGCGCCGCATCGCCGATGCATCGGCGATGCGGCTCGAGGGAGAGACCGACCTCCTCCACACCGACGTTGGCGATGCATCGCCGTCGTCGCCGATGGATCGGCGATGGATCGCCGATGGATCGGCGATGCGGCTCGAAATGGAGATCGATGTTCTCCACACCGACATCGGCGATGCATCGCCGACGTCGCCGATGCATCGACGGTGCATCGGTGATGCCGCGCGATCTTTCGACCCCAGATTGGGACCCTGCCTGGGAGACTTAAAAAATCCTCCTTCTCTGGAGTTGATCCTGAAGGTTTTCGGGACAAGCAAGTCTTATGGACCCCTGCGGGTGAACCCCTCGAGTTCGCCAGGGAAAGACAGACGTCCCATCTAAGTTTTCCAGTTTCGGTTTGATTGATCGCACTGAGGGGCTCAGCTTCATCATCATCATCATCATCATCATCATCAACAACAACAACAACATCAACAACATCAGTATCATCATCATCATCATATTGCTGCCCGCGGCTTTTTGTGGCTCTCTTTCGGGCCGCACTACCATTCTCAAGCTTCTCAGGTGTCCTGCCTGGAATGCAGGACCTCGCCCACCATGCAGCGGACGTCCTGAGGTTTGGGGCGCAGGCGCTTGGGGCCTCGCTGGTGGCGCGCGCTTCTGCGCCCAGTTGCGGGAACTGCTCCCCGCATTTGGCGTGCCCTGCGCCGCCAGCCCTGGCTTGCCCTTCCTGCGTGTGCGCGGGCGCTGGCGGCCAGGTGGTGGAGCCCTCGTGCGCGGGCCTCGTGGCGGCCTACGCGGTGGCCGCCTGCACGGTCGGGCTCGCCGTCGGCGCTGTGGCAGGCGCCTTCTTGGCGCGCCGCGCGCTCGCACCGCCTCTCGAGCCTGCGGTCGGCGAGCTGCCCACGGAGGTGATCGACATCGCCGTCCTCGCTGCCGAGCAGGTGCGCCTTGCTCGCGCCAGAGCCCCAGCGCTGCAGTGATGGCGGGGAGCTTCCACGCCATACGCTACCGCGTCGGCGGTGTGGCCCTGTGGCACGAGCGTCTGGTACTCGGGGTCTCAGCGGGGTTCGCCTACGTCGTCACGCCCGACTTCGACGACTACGACGAGCCGATCGTGGTTGGGCCCGACGTGCGGGCGGTGCTGCCGTTGGCTGGCCAGGGCGACACGCCTCCCGCGCTGGTCGGCGCCGCCGTGCATCGCTTTCGGCGCCTGCCGTCCGCCGCGGAGCTGTGGGCCGCCGTGGGTCGCTCTGTGGCTGCGGGCTACCCAATGCCACCAGATCCTCTTCCTCTGGCTCTCTCGGCGGCCAACGCGGCGGGCGCGCCTCCAGGACCCTTCCTTCTGGCCGACCCTGCTGCCGCGGCCGCGGCGCCGCCGGCGCCGCCTCTCGCACTTCCACCTGCGGCTGGTCCTGCTGCTCCCGTGCCGCCTGGCGCCGTCCCAGGAGTCGCGGCGCTCGCCGCTGCGCTGGGACCCGTGCCACCTGGCCCTGCCGCGGCGCCGCCGCTGGCGCACGTGCCTGGAGCTGCTGCTGGCGGTCCTGCCGCGGTCGCTCCGCTCCCCGCGCCCGCTGGCGATTTCAGGGTGCTGCCGATGGCGATCAACATGCGGGGGGAGCGTGAGCGGAGGTTCGGCGAGACGGTGAACGGCCTCTCCGAGACCGAGGTGCAGGGCTGGCCAGTCCAGGGCCCACGGACGCTTCTCTGGTGCCTGTCCTTCATGTCCACCATGGCGTGAACTCCCACCGCGTGGCATCAGCGCTGGCTCACGTCCATGGCGTTGGCCGACGACGACGAGCACGCCAAGCTCCACGAGACCTTGTGTCGGGTCCTGGACCTCGCCGTGGTCTACGATCAGCTGCAGGTGGCAGAGATGGCGTCGTTCGAGATCGTCGCACGTCAGCTCCAGCTGCTGGAGGAGCGGGTGTACGAGAGTCGGTCGCTGCCCCAGACGGCCGCCGCTCCCAAGGCCAAGTCTGGAGCTAGGAGTGGTGCGACGGCCGCGGCCTCCAGCGCCCCCGAGACGAGCTACTTCCTCGGCGCGGGCGTCTCCAAGGCGAACCTGTGCATCTCGCCGAGGCTGCTTGAGTACATTGCAGATCAGATGCGGGCGGAGGCCGCCATCAGCAAAGAACGTCGCAAGGCACGTGAGGAGCGTGCCTTGCGGGCGCCATGGCGTCTGAGAAGTCCAGGCCTGGCTGCGGGGCGCGCTCCAGTGGCGCCAGTCAGGCACATTGCCCCATCGCTGCTCATCAATGGCGACAGCGAGACAATTTCCCTCTCCGTCCTATCCCTGTGGAGCGGCGATCTGGTATCGCGTCGATGGGAGGTTCAGCCCGCGGACGGGCTGCAAAAGGTGCTGCCTGGAGAGAGTGGTACAACGATGCTGTGTCCACCCTCAACGACATGTACCACTGCGACCCTGATGGCATGGTTGCTCCGCCTCCAGGTCTTCCTCCACGCGCTCGCAGCGACGCTGCAGAGTGCCTTGCTCAACAGTTTCGCGATTTTGAACTCCCCTCTGGATATTCCGAATCTCCTACCAGATGCGAGGCAGCCCTAGCAGAGTTGCTCGCGCCGGCGCCGGGGTACTCTGGTGAGTCTCGGGTAAGACCCTACGACAAGGAGCTCGTCTCCTGGCCGAAGCACGTGGCCCCCGTTCCCACGGCCGATCTCGTGTCCGACGCCGATCGTTCAACGTTGTCAGGGTGGAGGCAACAAATGCTACGTGACCCTGCGGAGACAGCCGCTCTCAGGATGAACTCGGGCATCGGGTCGCCATACGTGGATCCTCGCCTGCGGTTTCGCCCTCGGGAGTATGCTGATTTTTTGCTGCGCCTGGATCAGGCGGGCATGCTAGAGTGGGAAGTCGCCGAACGTCAGGCGGCGTACTCCACAGGTTTCTTCTTCGTCGAGAAGTCGAATGGCGTCAACCTGCGGCTCGTTTTTGATACGCGGGTGGCCAACATGTCCTTCTCTGCCCCTCCTTCTACGAGATTGCCGACTCCGTCGGCATGGAGTGCCCTCGAGGCGTCGAATGACTTCTACGTGGCGCAGGGTGACATCCAGTGCGCCTTTTATCACATGAAGCTGCCGCCCCAGCTGCACCGATACTTCCCCTTGCCAGTGGCCCCGAATCGGCACGTGGGTCTCAAGGTGATCAATGGTGTCAAGATCCCGACGAAGGCCTTTCTACAGCCGCTCGTGTCAGTGATGCCGATGGGTTGGTCGTGGGCTCTTCACTTCTGCCAGTCGGCTTTAACCGCGGCCATTCGCGACGCGGGGATCGATGACGATGCGATGCTGGTGGGCGGTGCAGCACCTCGTCCTCTGCGAAACGATACCGACGTCATCGCAGCGGGTTACGTGGGCAACTTCGCCACCGTGTCTCTCGATCCAGAGGTTGCCGCCGCTTCGTGCCAGGCCATCCGCGACGTGCTGGTGGCGAGGGGCCTGCCCGTGGACGAGTTCGCCCCCGCGGCGCCTCGCGTCATCTTCACAGGCCTCGACATCCTGGGCGACGTGGGCGTCATCAGGTGCAAGGTGGACCGGTTGTGCAGGCTGCGCCAGGCCCTCCTCGGTCTACTCAGACGAGGCTATGCATCGCCGCTTGCGCTGTCCGCCGTGGTCGGTCATTGCACCTGGGGGATGATCACCAACAGGCCCATGCTGTCGATCTTCCATGCAGTCTACCGCTTCATGGGTCAGGACTCCCGTCGGGCTTTGCCGCTGTGGCCGTCAGTCGTCGCTGAGCTCCGCGCTGCTGCTTCCCTCATCCCTTTGTGGTGGGCTGATGTCAGGGCAGAGTGGGCGGCCACCACTTTCTGCAGCGACGCCTCTCCCTACGGCATTGGCGTCTGTCGCAAGACCGTTGAGCAGGACGTGGCTGCAGCTGCAGGGCGATTGTCGGAGAGATGGCGCTACCGCTTCTCCGATGCCGTGCGCGCTCGTGCGCACGCTTTGGGGGTCGACCCGAATGTTGTGTTGGAAGCGGCCGTGAGCAAAAACTGCCTCAAAGATTGCGAGCAGTGCCCGAGGCCTCCCGAGACCCATAGCAAGCCCCCGCTTACCGCATCATCATCACACCGAGGGGTCGACGACGTTTCGCTGGACGACTTCGACGAGGTTCCCGACTCGATCACGGCTCTCGACGGCTGGGCTACGATACACAGCGCACGTCATGCTAGGTTCGGTCTGGACATCATGCGATACGAGGCGGAGGCTCTCGGATTTGCGATGCGACACTCGGCTCGGTCTGGACGGCTTCGGCATCATCGCATCCTGTTCACCGTCGACAATTTGGCTCTAGCCCTCGCGGCTGGCAAGGGACGTTCTGGCGCCCGAGGGCTTCGTGATCCGCTACGTCGCCTCTGCGCCCTGTCGGCAGCCTCAGGCATTCGTCGCGCAGTGCGATGGATCCCTAGCGAAAGCAATGCCGCTGACTCACCGTCGAGGACAGGCTTCTTTGTCGGGCCGACCTTTGAGGAGTACCAGGCGGCGGCCCCCCGAGCTTTGCCGCCACCGAGCTTCGACGTCGACGGAGCTGAGGACCAAGACGCCGCCAAAGCCAGAACGGCTCGGGCAGGCAGCGCTCTCGGTCGTCGAGTCAGCCGCCGCGTCGGACACGACCATGGTCAACGACTGGGGCGCGGTCAAGAAGTTCGAGGAGTGGAGCCGTCAGACGTTCCAGACCATCACCACAGCGGCGGAGGTCGTTGTCATCCTAGTTACCTACTTCGTGAACCTCTTTCTGGTCAGTTTCGACGATGCTACGGGCCAAGTCATGCTCGCCTCAGTGAAGCACTACCTGCGCCCGCCTATGGCGGGCACGGCGCTGTCCACGGGTGCGGCTCGCGCCTTGACAGGCTGGCGGAAGCTCGCGCCCCCGCAGATGCGACCCTCTCTTCCACGGGCGGCGATGGCCTCCATGGTGGGCGTCCTCGGTTCGTGGAAGCTCTTCGGCATGGCAGTGTTCATCAGGCTGATGATCGACACCTACCCGACGACCAACGCGGCCTATCGCCTGTCAGCGGGCGGCGTTCTTCGACCAAGACCCGATGCCACTCTCGGATACGGACGTCTGGCCCTGATCGTCTACGGCGCCTGCTTCGAATGCCCTGGGAAGACAGAGGATCGGCATGGGGGTGCGGCCGACGACTGTCTACCTCGTCGTCGCACCAGGGAGGAGGTCAAGGACCGCGGCCAGTGGAGAACGGACCCGAGCCTCTCCCGCCACACCAAGAGGGCTCGAGTGCTGCAGCAGATTGCCACTTTAGACCAGATCCTGATCGGCCGTGGGCACGGGGTGGGCTCGCTGATGGACGATCTCATGCTGCAGACCACCACCACGGGCGCCCTCTCTCTGCGACGGCCGCTTGCCACGACGCCGACACCGCCAGCGGTCAGGCACCCGCCTCCGCAAGTGACAGCGCGGTGGGCCTCCGCCTGACACGGATTTGGCGTGCAGCCAGACGCGCGGCGACGCGGTCCAGGTACCTGCCCGCCTTGGTGATTGGCGGCGACGGCGGCGCGGCTCGCGCGCTGCAGCGCCTCGGCTTCGGCGTGCTGCACTTGAGCGTGAGACGCCAGGCCACTGATGACATCACAGATCCTTTAGTGATGAAGCGTGTGCTAGGCTGGATCCGTGCAGGCTGCATCTCGCGCGCGTGGGTGGAGCCCGACACGACTACTTGGCTTCCTCAGAAGCCCGCTGTCCGTAGCACAGCTC